TTTTCTTTATTTTCTCAATATGGGATTGTAATTTATTTTAAAGTTAAATATTATGAGAGTTTCAAAATCTCATACAAAATTATTTTTAAAATCAAAACTATGTGGGATTGTAAAATAAAAGTTAAATGAAAGCTAGCCAATGGAAATTTTCTTAATTCTTTAAAATTAAAAAAATTAAAAAAAAAATGAGTATAAGATATTGATCATAGGGCTTCTCACTAAAAATCTATTTTTGTTTATACAAATTGGAGTATGAAATTCATTTTATGTAAATGAAGCAATTCACTTTTACTTTCTTTTTCCGATGTGGGATTATAAAATAAAAGGTAAATGGAACCTAACTAATAGGAATTAAAGAGGCATAGTTTAGGTTGGTGAATTTATCATACTCGATCATTTTGTAAACTCATATGCATATTAAAAAACAAAATCAAATTCATTCTAAAGTCATGTTCATGTGATTTCAATATATTTATCTTTAATAAAAATATATGATCTATTTATAAAATTATATATATTATTTATTTTAAAAAATTAAATATAATAGAATTACGTGATTATAAATGATAGTCTTACTCAAAGTAAATCGAACTTTAATTTGTTCAGAATGTTGCTAAGAAAAACTGAAAATAAATCAAAGTCAATCAACTGACCTATTCTTCTCTCCGACAGGTGCCTTGTTACATTGTCATCCATGTGGCCATAATCGTGAAATCAACTTGCATCATTACATTTGGAGCAAAATATTGTTTTAAAAATATAATTAATTGTAGTCATGCAAGCAAGATGGACCCAATTGGGAGAGATGGGTGACGACTTCCAAATTTCGAAACCCTTTTATTATAAAAATAATAACATTAATTATTTATAAAAAAAAAAAGGCTTTACATTTTATAAGTTGGCTTCCTATTAGAGAAACATATTTTCACCGTGCAGTTTGGTGAACCATCAATCTAAACTATGATAAAAGCTTCTAACCTAAACAATCCCAACCTAAATAATTCATTTTTTTTTCTTTTCTCAATGTGAGATTATCAAATAAAAGTTAGCCAATGGAAATTTTCTTAATTGTTTAAAATTAAGAAAATCAAGAAAATTAATATGAGATATTGAAACTCTCACAAGGCTCCTTACACTACAACAAAAAGCATTTTTGGCGACGTTTTTTAGCAACCAAATTGAATTTAGTTGCCAATTGTATGTTTTTGGCGACAATATGTGTTGGTCGTCAAAAAATACACTATTAGCAACAAATATGTCAATTGGTCGCCAAAAAGGGTTGGCGCCAATTTAATTTTTTGCGCGGGAGCGCTAAAAAAGTTTTGGCGACGAAATTAATATATGGCGACGAAACTGTTTGTCGCCAATTGTGACTTTTTGGCGACGGAATTAAAATAGTTGCTGAAAGATGAATAATATTTATGGCAACATAATTATTTTCGTCGCCAATAAATATCTTGTCAAAATGACGTCGTTTTGAATCTGTCATTTTTTTTTAATGACCTTTAGGTGAATAAACAAGATTGACCTAAAATGAGTCTTCTTCGTCTTCTCATTCCACAACATGAAGCGGTACAACAGAAGACAAAGAGGTATGTCTTCTCTCCTTCTTCTTCGTGTCTCTTTCCTTCTCCCTCTCCTTCTCTCTCTCACTCTTACTCTCTCACTGTCTCATCTTCCTCTCTTTCTTCTTTATCATCAATTTCATTCTCTTGTTCGGCATTGCAGAACAGAACACAACATTGATATTGGGACTGATTTTTCCCTCACTCTCTCACACTCTCTCATCTTCCTCTTTTTCTTCTTTGTCATCAATCTAATTTTTCGGACTGATATTCTGATTTTTTGGACTGATATTGTGATTTTCGGATTGATATTGTGATTTTTGGGTCTGATATATTCTAATTTTTAGACTGATTTTGGAACTGATTTTCGGGACTGGTATATTCTGAATTTCAGACTGATTTTGGAATTGATTTTTGGATTTTGGGACTGATATTCTGATTTTGTATTTTTTGGGGACTGATATTACAATTTTGGGTACTGATTATCTGGTTCAGGAGGGTATAGTGGTTTCGTGACTGAGTCTCTCCCCCACGATCTACTGACTCTTGGTGTTTCTCACGTTTCACACAACACCACCGACAACAGTCCTTCATTCTTCTTGTTCTTGTTCTTCTTGTTCTTGTTCTTGTTCTTCTTCTTCTTCTTTTTCTCCTCTCTCTCTCTCTCTCTCTCATGTTAGATCAACTGACCGTTTGCATTGCTCTGCTCGGAAATTTTCTGATGAATTTCGATCAAATTTCACTTTGAATTTTAGGCAAGACACTACTGTTAGATGACTTAACCATTTTTTGTATTTAATTCTGTTTTATTTTGGTTCATGTTGATTTCATTTTCTGTGTTTGTATTTGTTTTTGAATTCCATCTAATTGTTAGACCATATTTTCTTGTCTCTCTAAGTTATGCCAAAAAGTTGAAATCCTCAAAAAATATGGACCTGAAGCCTTGAGAAATATCTGCAACTCTGTACACCTTTCATGTTGGAACATTGAACTCTCTGAATTTTGTAAATTATTAATCCTTTTTTCATGTTGGAACATTGAACACTCTGAATTTTGTAAATTATTAATCCTTGCTTTTCTATAAACATATTGTTATAAGTTAAACAAATTTGGAATCCTATACCTGATTCACAATGTGTATTTCCCAGGGAGTTTTTAAGTGCCAAAAGCTAGTGACAAAAATTAGCACGCTCCACTCTATTATAATTTAAACGTTGCCTATGTTAGATAGGATCAACTCAGCTTCGATTTCATAGTCATGTCGATTTTCTAGTGGTTATCATTTAGTCTATTTTGGCAATTAAAAAAAAGTTAATTTATTGGTTTATTTGGGTCACATCACTTCTTTACTACTTTTTTCCACGTTTTTTGAAAAAATCAAAATGTTGTCTTTTTTCTTACTTCCCAAAATAGGCCGGACGTATGGTGTATCAAGAGTGTTCTTTTACCTATCCTTTCTCATTTTTCTTTTCCGCTATTGTTTTTCTATCAATATGGCCAATCTTATTATTATCTGTTAACTTTACTTGGTAATACTGTTATATGTTTTTAATCCTGTGGCAATTGCCTCTAAGAACATGTCATTTGCTTTCTTCATTTTGATGGCCCTTGTCGCCTTCTTTAACAATCCCTTGAGCTTCCTTTGCCCCACATTCAAGTTAAGTTTATTACATCATGCTTTTGTCTGAACTGAGATTTTTTAGCTCCTTCTGCTGAGTAGCTTCTATAGGTAGTGTTATTTCCTTCTTGGTGGTTAGTGGAGACTCAGCCACCAGTTTTCATATCCTTTCGTTGGATTGTTTACCATAATTTTTAATCAAAGACAAGTCTGCTTTTGGAGGTTGCTAGATCCATATTCAGATTGCATTTCTTAATATTCAGAGTGAGCATCTGACATAGAGATCTTGCAGGAACTAGCCAAAGAAGTAAGGTTTTGGAGAGCATTTGGGTTTTCTGCTCTTTTAACTTTGGTGTGTTATTTGATTCTTTTGCTAATTCATTTTTCACCTCCTCTTTAACAAATTACTTGAGATGTTTGTTTGACTCATCGGATTTTTATTTGATGGTAAGGCTAAAAATTAATTTTTAATCGCAATCTAACTTAATTTTTATTTGATGGTAAAAATTGCAATCTAACTTAATTTTTATTTGATGGTAAGACTAAAAATTAAAGGGATTGCAAAGATATATTTAAATATAAATTTAGGTTAACTGGTCATTATCTGTATTATTATATTTAAATATAAGTTTAAGTTAACTGATCATTATTTGTATTATTAATAATTTGATCATATAACATTCATTTCATGTCCACTCTCCATTAATTTCATGTATAGTGCGATTTTAATTTAAACTTTGATTTACAATTCAAATGTTATAGGTTATTAGCTAATGCGAAGAGATAAAAAAAGCTGCAATCATTCGTTGGGGGCAATTACTACATCAAGTAAGCTTTGACTATATTTTAGGGCATTTTTAATTTATTTATCAAGTTAGTCATTTTAGTTTCTACACCTATGATCTTGAAACTATATAACCTTATTAAATTTAATGAGTCTGGTTGTCAAAAAAATGGGACTAGATACGTCATTTAGCAACTTGACTATTTTTGTTGATTTTTAAATTTTTTTTATGAAATGAAAAAGAATTATGTTTTGGATGATTTGTGGATTTTTTTTTTAGTTGATTTTCAGAGTCAATTTAAACTATTTTGTGTAGTTTCTGTTTATAGTTTATTAGGTAAGAATAGTTTAAGAGCAATGCTACGTCTATTTAAAGTCTTGCTAACAATATTACTAAAAACATATATGTTCAAATATCATTGGATGATTAATATCATTAATTTTTTAACAACCAATCACATTTGGCCTATTATATTTTTGGTAAGATTTTTAGTAAGTTTGTAGTATAGTTAGAATTATTCATAGTTTAAATAAGTTGAAACAAAAATTGATTATCTCAAAGTTTAGGAAAGCTGTTTTGACTTTTGTTTTTATTTTTAGTATGCAATAAATTGCACCAAACACTATATATATATTTTAACTGAACATTGTCTATTTAAATTTTAATAAAAAATTCAAAGTGCACAGTGAGACCTATCAAATGTGTAAGTCTCACCCCATATGTGAGTTGTGCCTTATTCTGTGATCAAATTTTATGTATATAAAAGAGTTTAAATCCACTTTTCTGATTAGTTCTGTTTGTATAGATAATAATTGTGTATTTCGAAAGCATACTATGTTTGTGGTGATGCTGTAAAATGGTATCCTTTTGGTGTTGACCCTTATAGTAAACCATACAGAGGGGTCGATTCTGAGGCTTAGGTATACATGATCGATCATGTATGGCTTGATGGCAATTATCAGGTAAAATTTTCTAATTTAAAGAATCATGTTGTAATTTCAATTTAATTTCACTATTCAATTAATTTTGCCCAACTTGGCTAAAAAAGCAAGGGATAGTCGAGCGAGGTTACCATATAATCATACAATGGGCTCCAAGTCATTTCAAGCTGCAATGTATAAACAGGTGATGCATTTATTATATCTAACATAATGATTGTAATTAATTATGTATGCTTACTTTTAAATGAAATTAGGGTACCGAGAAGACTGACTTTGTAGACTTCTACAAAGATTCCCATTGGAGCAAGAGAAAGTCGGATTGGGTAGCCCCAATATGTGGTCAATTACATGTAAGTATGCCAATTAATAGAGTTACATATTTATGTAAATGATGGTATTTGTTGAAGTTGTTTACAAATTGATAGGAAACTTTTAAAAAGCGACATGAAGAGTCTTTAGAGCCTGGGGCAATACCTTTAACTCAGGAGCAGCTGTCAATCGAGATTCTTGGAAAGAAATTGGGATACTTAAAAGGCTTTGGAGTTGGTCCAAAAGCATCATCATCCAAATCTTCTGTTATTGCACAAGCACATACTGAGGTGGTTTCGAGCCTACAAAAAGAACTAGAGTCATTGAAGAATTTGTCCGAGGTGCAGCAAGAACAAATTGCAGCCCAGAACCTGGTAGCACAAGAGCAAGCTAAAATGATTGAAATGCAAAACAAAAGATTTGAAGATATTGAGAAGTTTATGAGGATGACCAAGGATTGGGCAGGCATGCAGGTTGATGAAAATGATTATTCATCAGAGGAATCTTATTGACAAACACTTTTGTAAGTATATTTTTCATAATTTACTTTTCAAATCACTACAATTATTTCATTTAATATGTCTGGTTGTGTTGAACAAACGAAACCTCGATTGGATCTTCGGTTAGAAAATTAGAAGGAAAATTGTAAAACACAAGACTTAAAAGGCTCGTTAGGGGGCCAAAATTGCGAAATGACCACCGAAACCACCGAAACTTGGGACGAACAGCTTGTTCAAGCCTAAATAGATTTGTAGGAAAAAACGGGACCTCTATTGGATCTCCGGTTAGAAAATTAGAAGGAAAATTGTAAAACACAAGACTTAAAAGGCCCATTCGGGGGCTGAAATTTCGAAATGACCACCAAAACCACCGAAACTTGGCACAGACAGCTTGTTCAAGCCTAAATAGACTTGTAGGAACAAACGGGACCTCAATTGGATCTCCGGTTAGAAAATTAGAAGGAAAATTGTAAAACACAAGACTTAAAAGGCCCGTTCGGGGGCTGAAATTGCGAAATGACCACCGAAACCACTGAAACTTTACACGGATAGCTTGTTCAAGCCTAAATAGACTTGTAAGAATAAACGAGACCTCGATTGGATTTCCGGTTAAAAAATTAGAAGGAAAAATGTAAAACACAAGACTTAAAAGGCTCGTTCAGGGACCGAAATTTCAAAATGACCACCGAAACTACCAAAACTTGGCACAGACAGCCTTTTCAAGCCTTAATAGACTTGTAGGAACAAATGGGACCTCTATTGGATCTGCGGTTAGAAAATTAGAAGGAAAATTGAAATACACAAGATTTAAAAGGCTCGTTCAGGAGCCGAAATTGCGAAATGACAACCGAAACCACCAAAACTTGGCACGGACAGCTTGTTCAAACCTAAATAGACTTGTAGGAACAAACGGGATCTCGATTGGATTTCTGGTTGGAAAATTACAAGAAAAATGTAAAACACAAGACTTAAAGGGCCTGTTCGGGGGCCGAAATTGTAAAATGACCACTGAAACCACCGAAACTTGGCACGGGCAGCTTGTTCAAGCCTAAATAGACGTGTATGAGCAAACTTGTATGAGCAAACAGCACCCGATTGGACTTCCCGTTACAAAATTAAAATCAAAATTGTGAAGTTCATATCGAACGCAACCTATATGATACCAAACTTAACAATTTTCCATGGAGGGAAGAAAGCCATCCCAAAAAGAAAAAAGCCCTGCAAAATATAGGGAATCCGGTAAATGATTTATGGATTAAATGTTTAGCATCAAAATATTTGGTGTTGTGTTTTTGCAAATATTTTGACATAGGATTTTAGTAAATGACTTGTTGGTTAGATGTTTAACATCAAAATATTTGGTTGTAATTTTGAAAATATTTTCACTTAGGATTTGGTAATGTATTTATGGGTTTGATGTTAGTAGTTTGTAAGTACTTTGGTATGCATGTTTTAGATTGTCAGAGAATTGTAATTATGTTTATTGGGATTTTTCATAACTATTAATTTTGAATTAGTATGAATGTCTTGCACAAGTGTATTATTATTTACATTACATTTGTGTATATATTATGCATAGGAAAACAGGTGTTTTGGATTATTTTGAACAGGAAAATTATTAAAATCAAAATTTGTGTACTGAATTTTTAGTGACAGGTGGTATTTTGGTCGCTGTTAATATATTTGGCGTCAACATATTGTTTTTGTCGCTAAAAGTTAGTTGTTATTCCAAGAACTTTTAGCAACCAAAACTTACTTGTCGCTAAAAAAGTGATTTTTAGCGATCAAATTAATTTTGTCGTTAAATAGAACTTTTGGCGACGCATTTATTTGTCGCTAAAACTGCATAGCCTATCCAAATTTTAACCTTTTAGCAACAAATTGTAATTTTATAGCAACAAAATATATGATTTTTGGCGACCAATTTTGCTTGTTGCTAAATGTCTACATACGGTGACAATTTCTGATTTCGTCGCCATTACTTTTAGTGACAGGCCTTTGGTGACAGATTGTATATTTTTCGCCGATTCTTTTGGTGATGAAATTTGTACTTTTGGCGAAGAAGAAGAAAAAGAAGAATTGGAAAAAGAAGAAGAAGAAGAAGAAAATGACGAAATTAAGAAAGAGTACTGCCGGTGCTTGAGGCAGTCTTGCTTGTTCTTCCCTTGTCCTGGCCTCTTCTATAAGGTTCCTTAAATGACCTTACCTTACCAGGTCTTCCAGATGTGCCTTCAGGGCTCTGCACTCCTAAATCAAATGCCCATCTTCTTCACTCTTTCTCTTTTTATGAGTAAAATAACTCATTTTTTTTCTTCTTTTTCCGATGTGGGATTATCAAATAAAAGTAATTATTTAAATTAAGAAAATCAAGGAAATTATAATGAGAATTTGGAACTCCTAGAAAGCTTCTCACTAAAATGTCCCTTTTCCTTATATATATTGATACTAGCATATTGCCCGTGTTATGCACGGGATTTTGTGATTTAAAATGAGTTATTGTGAAAAAATTTGTCTATGGTTGTCTTTATTAAATGATTATAGATACGACTATCTTATACGTTGTAAATTTGTCAACTATCAATTTCTAAGAGTAGCTTGATATTACTTCCCCTTATAACACTTGTCAAGTCTCCACCCTTCACCAATCATCATCTCTATAATTTTCATCTTCTTTTTGTTGACCGCATCGACTCTTATTTAAAGCACATTTACTACACGATCACCCTTACTTTTAACTTCATTTTCTTATCTTTCCCCCAAGTCGACTTCTACCCCTACCCCTACCTCTACCTCTACCTACAACCTCTCTTCTCTAATCTCAAGTTGCCTCCACCCTCAATCTTATTGTTTGACCATTAAAATTATAGTTAACCATTAATTAATAATAAATTAGTTGAGTTGGCGTAAATTCTTAAATAAACTTGAATTTGACTCGTATAAAATTATGAATAATTTTGTATGTATGATATATACAAATACTTATAAATAAATAAATGAACAAAAAAAGCCTTTTAATTTTAGGAATTTTTGTAATGCTTTATGATTATTGTTATTTTTTTAATCTATAAAATCATAATAATAAAATTAGTTGATGAGTTTTATTAGATTAAAATCATATATGTGAAAACAACAAAGATAGCTAAACTCATAAATTAGAGCTCCAAAAACATTTTCCTCCAAGTCAAATATGCCTATTTGTTTATGGTTTAAATGGGTAAGGTGTTTTTGTTGAAAAATTTTGCAGATTGTGTAAAAATGATTACCCTTCATAGTTTGAGAAATTTTATTTTATCTTTTTGGTTATATTAATAAGAGCAACACTACAAGGGTAATATGGTAATTTTAACTACAACGCAAAATTTAAAAAGTCTATTTTGTTTAGCTAAATAAATAACTTCTCCCTAAAAAATGTTTTTGTTGAAAAATTTTGCAGATTGTGTAAAAATGATTACCCTTCATAGTTTGAGAAATTTTATTTTATCTTTTTGGTTATATTAATAAGAGCAACACTACAAGGGTAATATGGTAATTTTAACTACAACGCAAAATTTAAAAAGTCTATTTTGTTTAGCTAAATAAATAACTTCTCCATAAAAAATGTTTTTTTGAAAAATTTGTATATTGTGTAAAAATGATTTTACCCTTAATTGTTTGAGAAATTTCATTTTATCTTTTTGGTTATATTAATAAGAGAAACACTACAAAGGTAATATGGTCATTTTAACTACAGCAAAATTTTGAAAAGATCCACAATTTCTTTTTCATAAAAAGTAACTTATCAAACTATTATCAAATACATTAGCTTTTTTTAATTATAAAATAATAATAATAATAATAAAAGTTATTAAAAACTAATTACCAAATCTCACCTTAGCTTGTTTGTTCATCATCTAATATTTGAGCATTACTAGTAGCATTGTTTCCCTTTGCCCCCCTTTGGCTATCTTCTGCTTTGCAGAGTAATGCAAGTTTTTGTTGATTTCTTATTTCTATTGTTTGGTCTATCAATAAAACATTTCAACCATTTGAAAAGAAAAGAAAAAAAAAATGGCATTACATTGGGAATTTGAACGAATACACATTAAATTTTGTTTATTATATTTTATTGCATTTAATATATATATATATATATATATTATTTTCTTTAAATTTAAAACCCAATTCAACCCAAGTGCATTATATATTTCTCATCTAAAATATTTTTTTTCCAATTTGGTTGCCCAATTTAAACTTGTTATCAAAGCATTAAACCTTGTTTGGCTTAACGAAAGCAAAAAGACAAGATTGCTATTTAACATCAACATTATAATACACTTTTCGATGTAACCACATATAAGACCATTCATATAACACAATCATACACTCTAACAAAGAATTCAAACTAGTAGGAACCATTTGTGGGAAAAGCATAGTACCATGAAAATTTTTGCTATAATTGTAGGAAAATTTGAATTTTGGTGGTATATGTATACATGCATGTTTAACTATAGTGGTAATTTTTTTGTTTCGTTTTTTTTCTCTCATGGGGTGTTTAGAGTTTCATCCCTATTATTATTATTATTATTATTATTATTATTATTATTATTGTGTGAGTGAATTTCCGATCACACTGCTAACTCAGTATTCAGCTGGAGAGCACTGGCAGAATAGATGGCACCTGTTTGACCTGCAACCGAAAGAGAAGATTCCGGCAGTGGTTCGTTCACCCAGGGACACTCCGACGATCAAGTCAGTATATCTCTCAAAGATAACCAATAGTGCTAAACTCACTGTTCATAATATAAATTGCGTACCTT